TTCTTCCAACTGCATGTGAATCTATAATTATCTCAAAATAAAATGTTATTAAAAATTATAATAGTGAGTAGAAAAGAGAACATAATCTCCATAATACCAACTCACTGTGATAACAATAATGGCCATTTATTTTATTCTCATGTGTAGTAGCTGGATAAATACAAAGAATAGGATGGGGTTTATTAGACTATCTCAGATAATAATGTATGATTTTAACAAGGCAAAAATTTCAGTCTTATTTTTTCTCTGTAAATATGAGCTATGGGAAGAAAATAGTACTGAGCTGCATTGCTGTTTCCTCTCTTATTCATGCTACTCCACCACTGATGAGTGTAAGTATCATGCCACCTCCATCCTCCGTGGCTCTCTGGAGAGGACTAATGTGAAGAGTCGTAGCTACAATAGCAGATTACCATTTAAGCAATCTGGGCAGAATGCTATACAAACAGAGTGCTTCTTTCCCTACCTTCTCTTAATTTTTTTTAAAGATTTTATTTATTTGAGAGAGAGAGAGGGAGCACAAGCAGGGGAAACAGCAGAGGGAGAGGGAGAAGCAGGCTCCCCGCCGAGCAGGGAGCCCAATGAGGGACTCCATCCCAGGACCCCGGGATCATGACCTGAGCTGAAAGCAGATGCTTAACCTACTGAACTACCCAGGTGCCCCCTTCTCTTAATTTTTTAAGATAGGAGACAATCAGGAACTTTGTAGCAGAGTGGATCCAAGAGCCTTGGCCTGCTATTGTGTTAGAATATAAAACTTTAGGCTCAGAATGGCAGTGAGGCCTATTTTTCATTTGATAAGGCAAAAAAAAAAAACAAAAAAAACCCAAGGCAGTAATCTGTTTAGTTGAAAATCAGAATTGGAGGGTTTGGATCTTCATATACAATACCCACTCCCAACACACACACACACACACACACACACACACACACACACTCAAAAGAGACACATGTTTTAAGTTCTTCTTATAAATGAATATTGAAAATTACATAGAACTTACTGATGAAACCAAGCCATAAATTTGACATTTGAATCCACTCTCTCTTGAGTAGCCCCAGGTAAGATCCAAAAGCCACGATTTAATTTTAGACCCAGAGTGAAAGGTTCATGACCATGTTATTCAAAAAAACACATGTTGCTGTGAAATACCACTGGGGCCAGGCCATCTGTTTATCTGGGCGATTTCATTTCGTCCACAGATCTGACGGATAAATCAGCTGCTTTTTGGCATCACAGGGCCTGCAGAAAAGGCCAAAGTCTGTAATTCAGTTTCTGCTCATCACTGGTCAAGCGAGAAGCCCTAATCAGAGGAGAGTGACAAATGGCTGATTTCAAGCTGCAGGCTCTGGTCTCTCTTTCTGCAAGCTTTCTAGAAGGTCCTTCAAGTTAGATTGGACATACAACTGTATGTACATCTCTGATGCTTGTATGACTCAACCAGGTAGTGTCTCGAAAAGGCGAATGACACTGGTTAACCTTTTCGGCAATTTCACAGGCCCTGGCTTTCAAAGCAAAGGTGTATGATATGAGGTCATACACCAAAGATATGAGGTCAAAACAGAGTCGTTGTTATTAACTGGCCATTGTTCTGTTCTATAAAGATCTCATGTGGAAGATTTAATAAATATATATATATTTAAAACTAAACCTCTGGAGAGCAAAACAAATTCAGATAGCAGATTATTTGCCTGTACTTCTTCGTGTAGGATAGGGGAATAAATGCAATGTAAAGTCAGACAGACACATGTTCAAATATCTACTGTCTTTCTTGACCCACTGTAATTCGGGCAAGTTACTACACCTCTCTGAACCGCACTCTCTGAGTCTATTCCCTCATCTGTAAACAGGAAAACTACCCCTCCAAGTTGCGTGAGAGTTGACCCAACAACAAGCCACAATTGCAGGATAAATGCTCACTCAAATCTTTCATTGAGCTTTTCTTAAGTAACAGATCTCCTTGGGTTGTTGTGAGAACTGGTCCAAGAGTTGGCATACAGTAGGTGCTCAATAAATGCTCTAGTCCCTTACTGAGATGTTCTCGAGTAACAGAGTGGAACCACTGAACAGGAATAACTGTTACTTCAAGGCACTGTATGCATAGTGGTTCAGAGCGCAGATCCTGAAGCCAAACTGCCAAGCTATGAATACCAGGCTCTAGCACTTTCTACGTATATATAACTTGGGGCAAGATATTTCATCTTTTTCAGCAGGATTCTCATCTGTGAAGTATGGATGATGATAGCACCCCTACCTCAAAAGGTTTAAATGAGTTAATATAAATGTAAAGCACTCAGAGCACATGTGGCTTGCACAAGTGCTGGATAAGGTGGTACTATTACCATGTGTTGTTTAGAAACCTACACTTCATGGCTCATGTCTATTATTCGCAATGACTGCTTTTTTTTTAATCAGTCATTTAATAGATTTATTTCTTTTCCCATTGTTTTATATTAAAAATACCTGAGTAAATCTGGCTCTCTTATTTCCCCACCTCATCAAGTCTTCCTGCATGAAATTAGGCTTCAAATGAGGGAATCGATGACCTTTATGAGTCTCTCTCAGGAGGGGAAGCTGGCTCTAAGGTTCTTTTGAATATCTGAAAAAAAGGGGGATTTTTCTGGTAAATCTACCCTCGGGCTTGACATTCTCTAGGGTTCCTTCCTGCATTAAAATTCTGTGAGGAAATCCTTTTCCACTCTTGGAGATGATTAGGGAGAAAGAAACAAGTTTATCTAAATCTCCATGGGAAAGAAATGAATAATAAAAATGAACTAAGACACCCTTACTCCCTTCTCTTCTTCAATGATGAGTCCAGTAATATATTTCAAGGCCATTCTAGCATGATAACTTTTACAAAGCTTCCTTCTTGCTTTCCACTTTTAGGAAACAGCATATTTAAGTGTATTAAATAAAAGCATCTACAACCCAGATTAGTAGCAGTGGTCTCCTTTGCAGAGAGAAGGATGGCACCGTTGGGACATGTATTTTGAGTGAATTGGCGTTGGGGTAGTGGATTTGCACTCTTCCTGAATACTCTTATGCTCTGCTTCTCTTTGACCAAGGTAATTTTTTTTTTAAAGATTTCATTTATTTATTTGACAGAGAGACAGCGAGAGAGGGAGAAGCAGGCTTCCCGCGGAGCAGGGAGCCAGACGTGGAGCTCCATCCCAGCGTCCTGGGATCATGACCTGAGCGAAAGGCAGATGCTTAACAACTAAGCCACCTAGGCGCCCCTGACCAAGGTAGTATGTTCTGGAGATGGCTGCCTCAGGCTAGACACATGGGTTTCCCTGTAGCCATGGCACATAGCACAGCCGTTGGTCCCCACCGTCAAGTTCCTGAGGTGCTGGGGACAGATCTGTGCTCTACTGACCAGCCACTGAATCAAAGGCAGTGTAAGCCACCGAAGCGGGCAGGGGTGGGCGCTCATCTCATTCAGCTCGGCGATCCTCTAAAGTAAGGGGACCAAGACAAGGAACCACCTTTAAAAGACATCCTGGGGCGCCTGGGTGGCTCAGTCGTTAAACATCTGCCTTCAGCTCAGGTCATGGTCCCAGGGTCCTGGGATCGAGCCCCGCATCGGGCTCCCTGCTCAGCGGGAAGCCTGCTTCTCCCTCTCCCACTCTCCCTGCTTGTGTTCCTGCTCTCGCTATGTCTCTCTCTGTCAAATAAATAAACAAAATCTTTAAAAAATAAAATAAAATAAAATAAAATAAAAGACATCCTGAGAATTTTCTCTTTCTTCCCTAAGAAAAATTTCTATGCTCTCATGCTATTTTCTAGGCTGAGTCACAACACATTTATGAGGCACTTGAACCCTTGTGGAACTCGTGGAAACCCAGTTTAAAGAAAGGGATCTCAGTGATAAAGCTAACCTACAGAGGGGGTGTCTGCCCACTGGCTTGGCTCTCCAGACTGTGAGAAGCCCTCCCCCACCCCAAGTTCCTCCTTCCCCAGCTCCGCCCCCCTCGGAGCTGATTGCTCGGATCCGCACTGCAAATAACTTGAATTTTGAGATCAGTTGTTTCTGTGTTTAGCTGACCTTTGAAAAACTGAAGGCTACCATTGAAAAATAGGAGAGGACAGATCTAATTTTTGTTTTGTTTTGTTTTTACTGCTTTTCAAATATAGAGACTGTTTCAAAAGCTTAGCAGTGAAAACACTCGGGTTCCTTTAGGAATGAGCTTGCAGGTGGCTAACTACTGCTAGCCTGTTAGTTCAGAGGTGACTGAGTAATTCTGCACCACGCTCTCCTGGGAGCAGCAACATGAGAGAGAGGCAGCCAGGCTGCCCACTGAGGTTGGGGTAACCTGACCTGGGCTGGGAGGGGTGTCGCAGGGCAGACCCCACTGATGCTCCAGCCAGACACACAGTGATCACAGGAACCAGCTGTGCTGGGGCCGTTCGAGGTCATGCATTTTTTTCCCCTCAAAAGCAGCATTTTGCTAAATATAACTAAATATGATCCAATTTTTAATATTGAAAAGACTTTTCCAAGACAAATTGGGAAAAAGTGTCCTGTCCCACATGTTCTGGTTTGAGGTTAGGAAAATACAGCCTTTCGAGTAAGGAATGCCTAAGTCAGAGCTGGGAAACGTTGTGTCCCGCCAAGGGAAGAGAAGCTGCGGACAGCTCCGGAGCCCGGACGGATGCCGGAGTGGGGGCAGAGCCACGCCTCACCTGACCAGAGCCTGGGGCGGGGGGGGGGGGGGGCGGCAATGAGTTCAAGAAGCCCCCCAGCGAGGCCTTCCACCTGGGGCAGGTCGGCCGAACAGGGAGAACAGGGGCATCCCGAAGGCGCGGTTTACTCCACAGCTGCGCTGCGCCTCCGAAAACCAAAACCACAGCGGGCCCAGCCCAGGAAGGCGTCTGAGGTTTGCTGCCTGGGCTCGGCCGCTCCGCGGTGCGTTCCCGTCCCCTGCAAACAGAACACTCCAGGGCGGTTGCGCTAGGAAGTCACTCAAAGAAAGAAAGTTCGTTTCAGGGACAACCATTTTTATTTATTTATTTCTCCGTACTCAGAAGACACCCGTCGTTCTAGGAGTTCAGAATTCCTTCCAGCCTTCCTGTATGTGTCCTGAGTTTGCGAAAGGCTCCGCGGTCCACACAATTTTGTATCTGGGAGGGGGCTGGGGTGCGGGGTTCCAGGGGCGTGGGCCCCATCCGCGGGCCCCATCATGGGGATACAGTGGTCAAGGGCAGAGGATCAGTTGCAGTTCGAGGCTTTTTCCTGCATGGAGTTTATCTCAACAAATACAATTTTACACCGTTATGATTTGTTTAAAGATTTTATATATTTATTTGACAGAGAGAGAGCTAGCGAGAGCAGGAACACAAGCAGGGGGAGTGGGAGAGGGAGAAGCAGGCTCCCCGCAGAGCAGGGAGCCCGATGTGGGACTCGATCCCAGGACCCTGGGATCATGACCTGAGCCGAAGGCAGTCGCTTAACCGACTGAGCCACCCAGGCATTATGACTGTTCTGCTCTCGTGTTCCTCTTGAACATGAGAAAATATGTTACACACATAAGGTAAGAAGCTGCAAGGGTGTGATTTCTCAAGTGGGGAAGCGGGAAGACTCACTGAGAGAAGCCCTATTTTCTGCCGACCTCCCCCCTGTCAACAAGAGAGGTGCTCCAGGCCTCCACCCTCCAGCCACTAAAAATGTTTACCTTGAACTCAAGTATAACCGCCTTTGTGTGTTTAATGCTGTTTTTGAGACCATTAAAGTAATACGTGTTTATTATAGAAAACCTGAGAAAACAAGCAAACATAGATATAAAATAAAAATCAATTCTAATCCCATGAAGGAACGGCTGTTAACATTTATTTACATTGTTAACATGAATTTACCCAGCCTTATTTATACAATACACACGTACACAGTTGGTGGTATGTGTGTATCCCACGGCACACAGCGGCTGCGACATAACTGAGGTCGCAGAACATGGAATTTTGAATCTTATCATTTCACTTAATAACAGATCGTTAGTATTTTCTTTGGTTTAAAATATTCTTTGAAGACATTTCAATGAATACATAACGTTCCATAGTATAAGTGTATAATTACATATTAACTTTTCTCCATGAATGAATTTTTGTATTTTCTTCCAAATATTTGTTTTAAATAATAATTTAATACAAATCTTAACACATGAATCTTTGTCTAATTGTTTTACTCTATCCACAGGGTAGAGTGCTGAATGGGACATTATTAGGTCAGAAAGCGTGGGTTTCTTTTTAGAAAGATGCGTTAGTTTATATTCCTAGAAGTGGTGTATGAAAGTATTACTTTAATATCCTGTTTTCAATACTAAATATTATCATTTAAAAAATTCTCTATAAGGAGTGAAAAATGGCCATATCATTGTTGTTTCAAGTTTCACAGTTTCTAAGAGGTTTCATTTTTCTAGGGAAAAAAAGCATGATTGCATATATGGCATATTTTCTTCAAAACATCTATAGTAGGTCTACCCAAAGAGCCTTCCTTAACTATCATAAATGGAACCATGTAGTGATAACTATAGTATTCTCAGGGTAGAGTTTCAAGAGACACTCAACTGGTCTGTGAGGCTATGCCTTATGGAATCATCTGAGCAACCCCTGCAAAAAGGGGGAGGGCGAAGGGGGCCGTTTGGGGGAAGGGGGCAGCTCTCTAGCCTGGAGCAGAGCCACAGTGAGGAGGCTGGGTCAGAGCTGCCCAGCGAGAGGACTCTGGACACAGGAGGGAGGTGCTGGAGGACAGAAAAGAGTCTTCGAGGACGTGAAGGTGTGGAGACAAACACTGTGTAATAGTTTTTCTTCCTAAGGACATTTCTTTTGGGAGGCAAGCCTCAAGTGGATGCTGGGATGGGCAGGAATCATTAAGCCCTCCAGTAGTGCGTGTCAGACCGAGATGCAGGCTAGAAATGGAGGTCAGACCTACCCATCTGGTGGAAAGACGTTCATCTAGGAAGGCAGAGGATGCATCCAGAGTGTAAGGTGATGGCAGTCGCTCAGGTAGACAGCACTTGGCATTGAGCAAGTTCTTTGAGTGGTCATTGGTGGGTGTCCTTGACCTTGATAGGGCATGGAGAGCTAAATATATTGTCTGCCCAAATGTGAGGCTAGATCAAGGTGTTGCAACATGCAAAGGTGGATCATGGGCCCTTAGCTGTGGCTCAGGGGATAGACCAGCAAGGCTAAGGGGACTCTCGATGATCTGAGGATCTGGACAAGTTAGGTCAGATCCTTGGGCCCCGACATCCAAATAGGAGGCCAGTTATTAGAGTTGACAAGCAGGGTTGGGCCTGGCTGGACAGGAATATCCTCAAAACCTAGGTACCAACTCTGAACATTCTCCTGGCAAGGCCTGGGACCAAGTCCAGATGCCGCCTCCAGTTGGGGCTTGAGAGGTCTCAGCTGTGGGGACTGGCAGATGGAAGTGGCGAGGGGCCAAGAATGTCATCAGAGAAAACACGGAGAGAGCTCTTGAAGACACCCCAAATGAAACTCAAAATACTGCATTTCATTCTCACCATACAAGCTCTTGAACAACTGGAAACTTCAAATGATAAATTGCAAGAGATTTATGGGTGAGGAAAAAAAAGAGCATGTACTAGAAGAGGCCCAATTGGGAAGGAGCAAAAACTAACCAGTAAAGCAGGCTAACCCGAGTGGAATGAGCAGTCAGATGGAGTAGGTTTTGATACCAGCAAGGTGGGGCGGGGGGACTGAAAAGCAAGAAAAGGATTTGTAGGGACATATTTTTTTTTAAAGCCAGATTATAAATCAAGGGCATGAGATTAATGATGACTTTAAAATGGCTAAGGTATTGAATTGATTTTCTTAATCTGTCTTTAATAAGAAAAATGGAACCAAGCAGTCGTTTCAATTAGGTGATAATGTAGAATTTGCAAAAAATGTCCACAGCTGGTAAGAAAAACCTGGAGACTGTGTAAATATGCAGCTCAGCAGGTCTTGATGAAATTCATCCTTGAAGTAATGCCTGTAAATAATCCACACAACTTGGGGAAAGGGTTAGACAGAGTGGGGAGCGGGTGGGAGCAGTGGGGAAGGCAGGGGAAGGCAGCCAGCTCCTGAACCCCTTGAAGAGCACCATGCAGCACGCCGCGGGGGTAGGTGTTATGCAAGAGACACAGGAGAGATCTCGTCACGGCCTTGCGAGGCAGGCATGGTAGTGTGCTACCACTCTAGGAAATACCGTAGGGAAACGTAGTTTGGAGCTTGAGCAAGGAATTGCAGGTGGGAGTCAACGTCCTCATGTTTTCTCGGGCGTCTTTAACACCTTTAGGACAGTTGCCAGGTCACTGTGGAAGTGGAAAGAGCGATTTTAGTTTTGAAGAGCAGATGTTGCATTTTGTTCAACCCACAAATATTTGACAAATTCATATTACATGCCTCATCTGTTCTGGGGGAGCGATGGAGGAGGCAAAAATAGGTTATGACTTTTTGGAGCTTATGAGCTCATGGAGGCACCACAGACCAAATGAGGAAATAGCGCAAAATGGCATAAGCTAAACTGTCAGCACGGGTGGGGCAGGCCCTAAGGGCCATGCCAGAAAACACACTCATATGGACTTTCAACTAGGGGAGACGTCCAGAGGGGGCACTTGAAAGGGGCTTTAAGGATAAGAAAGATTCCAGGCAAGAAGAGAGTGTGGACTCTCCCCGAAAAGGTTAGAACAGCGGGTAGTGTACGCTGGGGGAATAGTACATTAGCTGGTGGGAATAGAGAGCACATGCTGGGAAGTGGGAAGGGATAAAGTAGAGAGGAAGAATGCCAAGTTGCAAAAGGTTAGAGTACTAGAAAACAGAATAGAACATGATTTGGTCAGCAAGGAGTTCTTGTGGCATTCTTGAGCAAGACAGTGACATGAGGAGTGGACTCCAAGAAAGATGTTCAGTCCTGGAGGATCCAGGCAGGATCAGAGCATGGACAGATGAGTAGAAGGGTATGCCCTCAATAGAAAGCCACTTTTCCTGCTACCACCCTGATCTAAGCCACCAGACCTCTCCATTAAATGCTCTCTAAACTAGACTCCCAATGCTGTCCTTGCCCCTCTTTGGTCAGTTTCAAGATGGCAGCCAGAGTGATCCTGTTAAAAGCATAAGCGGATTATACCTCTCCCCTGTCATAGATCCCTCCAATGGCTCCTATCTCATGCAAGGAGAAGCCCAAGTCCTTACAATGCCCCCACAAAGTAGTACCTGATCCAGTGCTCACCTCCCATTTCTTCTCAGACCTCATCTACCTCTTCTCCCCTCACTCACTCATTGCTATTCCTCAAATGTGGTGGCCAGAGTCCTGCCACAGGACCTTTGCACTTGCTGCTCCTCCCTCTCTGCCTGCATGGTTTCTTCTTCCAGGTGCATGGCCCTCCACCCCTTCACACTTTTACTTAAATATCACCTTGTCAGTGAGGCCTTCCCTGGCCACTCAATCTAAACTGTAAACCCTATGCCCCGAACACTGACTCCCTTCCCTACTTTGTTTTTCATCCATACTTCTAACATACAATTTTTTAATTAAATCGTTTATTGTCTCTCTCCCCCTCTATCCCCATGAGACAGAGCTTTTATTTGTTCTGTTCATTGTCATAGTCTTAGTACCTAGAGCAGAACTTGGCTCGACCATACGAACTGAATGAATGAATGAATGAATGAATGAGTGAATGAATATCACAGAAAGCTGAGAGGGGCTGAGGGTGCACAGTGGATGAGAGCTGTAAGAGTGGAGAAAAAGGGGATCACTGTATGAGCGACTGTATGAAGCTGACAGCATCTGGATTCCCGAAGAGTTAAGGAAACACATGTCCTCTCAGCAGAAGCCCCCCTGTTCCTTGCCGTGTCCAAAACCTGGGCTGATTAGATTATAAAGGGGAATCATCTTTGAAGCATGATAAACATCCAAATGAGACCCATTAAGTGACCTGCTACATGAATAAATCTCGATCTTTCCAGGAAATTCCTAATGAGGTTTTGAAACATGGACTTTTTCTCCTTCTATTTTTAATTCTTTTTTTTTTTTTTTTTAAAGATAGTGATCTTTTTGTACATTTACAACTCTGGGTATCTTTTTTTTTTTAAGATTTTATTTATTTATTTGAGAGAGAGAATGAGATAGAGAGAGAGAGCATGAGAGCGGGGAGGGTCAGAGAGAGAGGCAGACTCCCTGATGAGCAGGGAGCCCGACGTGGGACTCGATCCCGGGACTCCAGGATCATGACCTGAGCCGAAGGCAGTCGCTTAACCAACTGAGCCACCCAGGCACCCTCTATTTTTAATTCTGCTGGATAGTACTACAAAAAAAATCTATTTTAATACTGTTCAGAATTCTAAATTCAGTATTAGCATGTTCTACACACTTCAAGAGTTCATTTTTAAAATAGCATTTTGAGGTGTCTTATGACAAACACTATAATCCATTGTTTTATAATTAGAACCTTCAAAGACCCTCACATATGTGGAAATTGAAAATAAGGAAGAAAAAAGATTATGAGATGAGTGATACGAAGGAAAGGAACATGAATGAGAGGGTGAAAAAAACTGAGGATAAAAACAAGAGACAGACTAAGATTTTTCCAAAAGTGCTGCTATAAATAAATATTTGTGGGACTAGAGTCAAGGTCAGATCAATGCAAGAACCAGCAAGTGGGTGGGGTGGGGAAAGAGAGGAGCCAGAGCAGGGCTTTGCATGAAGTGCTCCCCATCCTCTCAGCATCCGTCTGGCCGTGTGCCTAAGCACACAGAAAGTACATGTGGAAGAGCTGAGGGTCTGAGAGGACCACAGCAGTTATGAGTGTGGAGGAAGACCGACATGACCAGGTCCCTTACTGATGTGCAGCAGGTCTGAATCAGTCCGCACACTCAGGTGTGCAAGAAATATCACATCTCTCTCTTTTCTCCTAGTCAACTTTTCTAAAGCCAGGCTTCCATCCCAACAGGTGAGGTGGAAATTCAAAGCTATTCTGGCAACACTCTTCTGCTTACCTTTTCTATTTCAAGGTTGTTTCAAAGTCCTGGGGTCCTACACAGTGCCAACGTGATGGTGGTGGTGGCAGCATGTCACTCCAGGCCCGCCACCGTGCTCTTCTTTGCCAGGACTAGGACACAGGGCAGTCCAAAGTCCCTAATTACTGATGGCATTCCCTCTGAGGCTCTACTCCAAATGCAGAAATATCAGAAACAACATGGACATCTAGATTTCTCACTGGACCTACCATCCTAGAGCATCTTTTTCAGTTTGAGAGAAATTGCCTTCTCTTCAAACTCTACTCTCAGAATGATGGTTTTAGGCTTTTAGGGGAAATTTCAGGAAAGAACAGAATAAACCTCCCCTGACATGAGGAAACCACCCCCTTGAATGGGGAAAAAGAGAGAGGCAACATACAGGCAGAGAACATAACTTAAACATCACCTTACCATCTGCAGCCCCTTCCTAGCCTACAAATAAAGAGCAACTGGTCTAATGAAAGTAACTAGCTTCCTTCAATGTCTCTCCTGGTGTGAGCAGGGGAAAACGGAGGAAGAACTCGCTGCCCTAGCCCTCAGCCTCCGAGGCTGACCCTGCTGCCGGGCGTCTCCTCACCGAAGAGCCTGGGGCGGGGGCACATCCAGTGGCTGAGGGAGTCAGGGGCATGGAAACGCAGCTATTTCACCCAGCGTGGGGGGCCTCTGGGGTCCCGGCCGTACAGAGTCCAGCACGCCCTGTGGGGTGGGTCAAGGCTTCCCAGACCTGCATCCCAGTTTTTCCATCTCTTCCCCTGCCCCGCCTCCACCCCCGGCCACAGGCATTCTTCTCTAAAGAAGTCCCTGCACACCAAAATCCATCTCAGCATCTGCTTCTAAAGACCCCAACCTGCCACAGTTCTTCTAGGAGTGCTCCTAGAAAGTGGTCAATAAGATGGGATTTTGGAGCCAAATCACTAGCCACCTGGCAGGCAATGAGGACCCAGTTGGTGATAAACAGAACATAGCATCCCCTGGCCCAAGGTGATGGTCCAATAGGTGGTTAAGTGAAAAGGTATATCCCCGGAAAGGAACAAATTAGCAGGTGAGGTTTATCAGGTGTTGAGAAGGGAGAAAGAGTAATTACAAAGACAATGGAATTGGATGAGTGTTGCTAAAAGCCATTAATACACAAAAGGTAATGAAAAGCTGCAGGCAATGAATAGGCAAATAAAAGCCAAATATGAGAGCCAGAAAGTCTCCTTGGTAGTTACAAAGAGACTCTCAGCTCCTGCAGCTGAGGCCCAAGCCCAGAATTAAATCTAGTGCTGACCTCCAGAGACCGTTAAATATCCCACCAAGGTAGACTTTAGGAGCTATGTGCCCCACTCAAGAGCTACCCCCACCTCTGCTGGCTACAAGGCTGATGGGAGGATTAGGTCACAGCATGATTCCCCCGGGGTCAGGCTGGGCACAACACAGGAGAAGAGGGGCTCTGGTCCAAAGGAGCTGCAAGGCCTAACCAACATATACTGGCCAAGGCCAAGGTAGCACCCTTGGCACTGGACTCTGAGGCTGCCCGAGCCAGCTGTTGGGACATACGACTGTAGGGAGCATTCTCCAGAGATACAGGATTCAGACCTTGGCAAGACACCGCCCCTCCCCGGGGAGATGGCGTCACCTTGCTACTAGGATGGTTCCTAGGAGCCTGAAGAGAGCAATGGCCTACACTAAGCAAAGCCCAAATGCCAGAACTTCCTTGGCCGATTGAGGAAGAAAGGATTCAAAGGCTCAGGGATGTAGACATGCTTAGAGTGTCTCCATATATATTATAATATAGATTATGTGAGGCCCAGCAACCAACCGAGGGATTATGTTCCACAGAAAGGCCTGGAGGACATACCATCTACCAAGGTCATCAGGAACACGCTAGTGGGAAGGGCTCCAGCATCACTAAAATGTTCAGCAGTGACGACAGGACCACAAATGGTAATAGGAGAGGACCCCAAATGGCAAGACCCCCAAATAACAGAGGCCAAGTGGGAAACGGCCTGCAGCAAGCCAGGTGGATGCAATGGTCTCAGTGAGGAGCTGGGCGACAGTGGCGGCCACAGGGCCCAACCTGCAGCGCTGTGGAGAAGCTTACGGGATCCCTGGGTCAGCAGCGGCAGCACCTAGGAACGTCTTAGAAATGCAACTTCTCACCACTCCATCCACACCTACTGAATCAGAAACTCTGGGATAAAATCGGAACTTCATCAAGCTGTGCAGGTGATTCCAATGCAAGCTGAAGTCTGAGAACCTCAGGAGAGAACACAGGTTTAACAGGACCGACTTTGGAAAGCAGGGCCGTGCCAGG